ACACAGACACACAGAGCACCCTGAACAACCCCAAACAAAATGGCTCTCCAGCAAAACACACAATGCACACACACACCAAACAGCACCCTCAACAACCCCAAACAAACATGGCTCTCCAGCAACACACACACACACCACAGCACCCTCAACAACCCCAAACAAACATGAAACATGGCTCTCCAGCAACACACACCCCCCCCCCCCACACACACCCCACCCTGAACAACCCAAAACCACAATTGGTATCCATTACAAATATCCTTTGCTTCGCAAATGAAAGGTGTCTAATCAATTGGATAGTGAATATTTTTGTTTGTTATAACAAAATCTCTGACAAAAGCAACTTGAAGAAGCATTTATCTTTGTTCTTGGTTTGAGGGTGCAGACCCGCATGGTGGAGAAGGCTTGGAGGAGGAGGCTGCTTTTCACCTAGCTTCCCCTCCTGAGTGCAGCATTAAAGGCCTGTGCCACTACATCCGGCTGAAGAGAAATTTTCAGAAGTGTGGAATCATTCTCCTGGCCCTGGCAAAAGATAACAAAGACATAGATATGGAAGTGCCACACACTGACCCGCTACACCATGGAGCTTTCCTGCCGCTAAAGAAGACTTGCCTTGGTCTGAGGTCTTGACTTTATTAGCTACAGACTCTGGATAAGCGGGACTGGTCAAGAGTCTTATCAATCTCTTCTATGTGGCCAGATTTATGGGTAGGAAGATCTTTGTTTACAGGTTCCTGGAAATAACCCAACCAAAGACAGATTGTCAAAGAAAGAGATAGGTTTAGTTATAATTATAATAGTCATTGGAGAAAAGTGACTTGAGGGAGCAGTTAAGGTTTATATCATGAATACATTTTTTTTAAATTAGAAATTTTAATTGCTACAATAATCGTATAGCTTACCAGATACAGTGAGATATTTCAGTGTGCATATATTGTCAATCTAAAATAATTTTGCTTAAAAGGAATTTTTTTGAGGTAGTTATGAGAGGCCAGGGTGGCCCAGAATACAGATTCAAGTTACCCTAGGTGAAGAACTCCATAGTGGAAGACGGCACATAAACTTGTGTAGTCACACAACAAAAGAAAGTCGTGAGCCAGTGTATGTCCTGTGTGCCTTGGTGGAGCCATTAGCTAGAGCTGATCATCAGAGTAAGGAGGGCATCTTCCCTAGGACCCACATGTTATTCTGTTTTTAGGCTTCAAGTCAGTAGAGACTAGCAGTGAGTCAGGATTCACTGAACACCTAAGATTTTTATCCAGACACAGAGGTATCAGGTCAAATGCAGTGGTGGCCAGTGAGTGGTTACCAAAGGAAATAAAGATGGCCCAAATAACTTTGCTTTTTGGTTTGCAAGACTCTGTCTGTGCAAATGGACAGATGATGTTCAACATCAGAGTCAAATGGTCTTGATGTTCTTCAGTCTGAATGTGGCTTAAGAGACCTTTTCACGGTACAGGTAATCGAGTCAGGGTAATTGCCAAATCCATTCCCACCTCAAACAAAAATCATGTATTGGTAGCATTTAAAATCTGCTAGCTGTTTTGAAGGTCACAGTTAATTGTATTTTCTGGTTATTCTGAACAATAGAGCATTAGAATATCTACCCATACCCCAATGCATGTTAACTGTCCTTTGCTCTCCCCTCGCCTCCACCCTCCTCAGTCTCTGATAATGATATTTGTGTTGAATTTTTCTCAGCTTGTTACAAACTAGAGTCATCAGATAGGGGATCCTCTGTTGAGGAGTTGCCTCCTTTGGATTGGCCAGTGGGTGTATCTGTGGGGCATTTTCTTCCTTGATCATTGACATGGGTGTTGTTACCTCTGGGTATATGTTACCAGGTTTTATAGGGAAACAGCTGATCAACCCAGGGAAGAGAAAGCCAGTAAGCAGCATCCCTTTGTGCTCTTTGACTCAGTTTCTGCCTGGCTCCTGCCTTGGCTTCCTCTAATGGTGGATGTAATCTATAAGCCAAATAAACCCATTCTCTCCTAAGTTGCCTTTGGTCAGAAAGTTTAATCCCAGCTACAGAAAACAAACTAGGATTCTATTCTCTGTTCTTGAATAAAGTCAGCATTTCTTTAGTTCACACAAATAAACTGTTTCAATCTAAATTTGCATTTCAATTCTTGGGCTTGACATTTTGTTTTAATATTTTTTTCTCCACATTTATGTGTTTAACATCTTAATAGTGGAAGGACAGGGAGTGAAAGGCCATTTATGGGAATGTAAAAGTAAATCGTCTCTAGGAGAAACAACAGGGCACATGATAGGCTTGTGGTCATGTAGGCTCAGGCGTGGTGTAAGAATTCTCTATTGCAGGAGCCTAGCCAGTTTGGATGTCCACCTTCCTAGACCAGGATGGAGCGGGGAGGACTTTGGACTTTCCACAGGGCAGGGAACCCTGACTGCCCCTCAGACTGGAGAGGGAGGGGGGAGAGGAGTGGGGGCAGGGGGAGAGGAGAGGGAGGAGGGGGAAAAGGGAGACGGGGAGGGAAATGGGAGGCGGGGAGGAGGCGGAAATCTTTTTTTTTTCAATAAAAAATTATATTTAAAAAAAAAATAAATAAAACCCAGTCCAATTATCTTAAAAAAAAAAAAAGAATTCTCTATTGCAGACTGTTTCTTTGCCCAGAGGAAAGGACTTTCAACAGTCAAGTCATTTTGAGTGTTTACTTAAAAGATTTCAGAAACTCATATTTTTTTGATCAAAATAAGTTTTGTATTTTATTGTTATATTCTTCAAAAAGTACATGTGTATATATTTGCATCTCTATCTATCTATCTGTCTGTCTGTCTGTCTGTCTGTCTATGAATAAACACTTTTCTGTGATAAATACATAAGAACAGGAGGAAGGCGTTATTTGGCTTCATGGTCTGAGAGGCTGGTTCCCTTGTTTCCGGATCATGGTCAGGCTGAACGTCATAGGTGAGGAACTTACGGGAATGAAATTGCTCACTTCCTTGTGGTCAGGAAGCAGAGGTATAAAATGGGACCAAGAATAAAGTTTACAATCCCAGGGAGCAGTGACATTCTCTCAAAGCCTTGGTGACATTTACTCCAGCAAGGCTACACCTGCCCACACAGCACTGCCAGCTGGAGACCAAATAAGGGGATACTTATCATTCCGACCAGCACAAAATAATGAGACTCTGCAGGGAGCCGGTTTGGGAGTCACAGTAGTAGATTCTCACCTACAGCCTATATCTGTCTCCCCACAGAGGCTTGGACCTGGTAATGCTGCCAGGTTTGGTTTGTTTCATTTGAGGAATGGGCCTTAAGTCCGTCACTAAGCAACGGGTTACTCCCACCACATTCATGCTGCTGTTGTGCCTGTTGGTATCCCTTGCCAGGCTGGTTGTGATGTCAGCTTGCGGCTTCCACAGCTGGGCTAGACTGATTTCTTTCCTCCTCCAGTGGCACGGATAGCAGCTTTCAGCACTGTGAAAGCGAGCCAGTAACGGTGAAGCTCCAGGTCAGAGCCGAGTTTTTATTCCGTGACTCAAATATATGATGTCCCCAGCAATAGGGTTTTACTGTCGAGCTCTGGAGCATAACCAAGAGCAATGGCGATATTTGAGGGTCGGTGTTACCTCACTGGCCAACCAATCCAATAAAGTTACCCATTCCTGTCATGAGCCAATATTATCCTAAACAGAGAAAAAGAGACCAAAAAAAATTTTTCTACCAAAATTAGGAATAAGTCAAGGACATAATCTCCCTCGTCTCCTGTTCAACATGGTACTTGATGTCAAGTAAAAGAGATGGAAGAGATACAAAAAGGAAAGAAAGAAGCCAAAGTATCTTTATTTGCAGATGATATGATTCTTAAATATAAGGGACCGTAAAGACTCTGCCAGAAAACTACCCTTGATAAACACATTCAGCAAAGTAGCAGGATACAAAATTTAAACAAATAGCAACAACAAAAAAAAAATCTGTATTTTTAAAATATATATTGATGATAAACACACTGAGGAAAAAAGTCGGGGACTTTTGAGGATATTAACCTCAAAAAAATTAAAGTATCTTGGAATAAATCTAACAAAGGAAGTCAACAACTTGTACAATGAAAATTTGAAGGCACTGAAGAAAGAAATTGAAGGTGCCAGAGGACAAAAGACTTTCCATGCTCGTGGTTTAGTAGGATGTATACTGTGAAAATGCCATTAGACTAAAAGCCTTCTTCTCCAGGTTCAGGGACATCCCCTTCAAAATTTCAATGCTGTTATTCACAGAATCTGAACACACACACCACACACACACACACACACACACACACACACACACACATATTTTGAAGACAGGGTTTCTCTGTGTAAACCTGGCTGTTCTGGAACTTGCTCTGTAGACCAGGGTAGCCTTGAAATCAGAGATTTTGCTTGCCTCTGCCATCCGAGCACTGGGATTAAAGGAGCGTGCCACCAGTACCCAGCTGAAAAAAGAGACATCTTTCATTTTATATGGAAGCTCCAAAGACCCAGGATAGCCGAAACAGTTCTCCGTGTCTTATGAAAATGGAGAGTGGGGGAAGCCAGCGCATCAGTTCAGTCTTCAAATCTCACAGTAACTGCCGAGGGTGTGCACTTCCTGAGCGGAGAGAAAACAACGCTCGGGTCTGCCCCTGCCAGTGCATGTCACCTCATGTGCAGGACGCTTCTCAGAGCTCTTTCCTCTGTCTCATTCAGGAGACAGATATGACAGCCTTAGGCTTTTGGGCTTCTATTAATGTCGCAAGGGATCATTGCTTCAGCTTTGCTGATAAAGGACAGTAAGGAAGGGCAGCAGAGCTGCGTTGCTGAAGACGCATGAAGGGTGTTAAGTGTTTGTTGGTAGACCACTGCTGAAAATTTATAATTTGTTATACATGTATATATAACATATATATACATGTTACTTATAAAAGGCAGTCATATATACAGAGCCATATATTGAATTCGCCCGCAAAGATAACTTTTCATAACACATTTCCTTGTCTTTTTTTTGTAATGAACAGACGAGTCCAGTTCACCAGTAGAAAAAAACATTACTTTGGAAAAGCCTTCTGACCTGGAGCTCTTATGCCAGTTCACGCCATCTGGGGATTTGAACTCAGTGAACGTGACTTGGAAAAAGGATGATGAACTTCTGGAGAATATTGATGTTTTCAATACAACCAAAGTGGGAAACACCTTGTACAGTCAGTACAGGTACATACGCGAGGGTCTCCATAGCCAGTTTAACTACCCGTTTCTGCTGATGAAGCATTTGTTCTTTTTGAGGTCATTTGAATGTTATGCTTAGCATTTCGATTATTACAGAATTTTTTCTGTTTTAAAAGTTTGATTGATGACTTCATTTTTATTAAATATTTGTAAGAAGCAAGCTTGTATTAATAATTCTTATTATCACTAGGTTCATCATTTTTAACAGCAAGCAAATGGGAAATTATTCTTGCTTCTTTGATGGAGAAAAGAATCTCAGAGGAACATTTAATATCAAAGGTCAGTATTTATAACTACGACATTACATTCTTAGATTTCTGTGTCCCTTGAGTTTTAAGTTATTGCTATAGTAATAAATGTAGTTACATTGAAAGAAAATTATTTACTTTGCATAGGCTCCTCCAGGGCCTCTGACCTCCCAGCCACAGGTTTTTTTTTTTATTTTTATCTATTTCTGAGACAGGGTCTCGTGTAGCCCAGACTGTTTAGCTTCTGATCTTCCTTCTTCAGCTTCCCAAGCAATGACCAGCATGCACCACCACGGTTAACTTCATGGCAAGTTTTCATCATCTCTTTCAGGACTGGAAAAAGCTATTGCATGTCTACTTTTAAAATTTGCTTGAAGAATTTAATTCAACTCATTTATTTTAATGCCTGCTTACCATTAATGTAGCTTTTAAGTATGTACTATATCCTGAAGACATTTGTAAAATCAGTAATTTGGGTCCTTTCAGAGATTCCTTGATTAAAAATAATAACTCTGTGTAATTTACTTAAAATTGAGTATTGTTTAGAGAAATAATTTTATTTGAGTAGAATTTAAAGACATCTGCATAACAGTTTAAGTCATAGTTATTATTTTATTAGGTCTATTAAGCATATATATAGTAGTGAATATTTTTATAAATATTATCTCCATGGCTTGCTTATGGTTTTCCCTAGGGAGAATGATCTTTGCTTATCACTATTACGAATAAATATGGATAAAAAGCTAGTTTCATCTTCTGCTGTAAATTGAGTCAGATTATTCTTTTTATTTGTTTTTGTCTTTGGAAACAGGGTTTATTGTGTCCAGTCCATTGGCATTTGGGAAAGTTGGAGAAAGTACTGTATTATCTATCCTACCTTAGGGAGTTCAGATGTTTATACCTAAACCACTTTTTATCATAACTTGTATTACCATCCTAAAAAACTTTAATGGCTCAGTGGTTAAGAGCATTGCCTGCTTTTCCAAAGGTCCTGAGTTCAATTCCCAGCAACCACATGGTGGCTCACAACCATCTGTAAAGAGATCTGGCGCCCTCTTCTGGCCTTCAGGCATATACACAGACAGAATATTGTATACATAATACATATTTTTAAAAAAAAACATCTTTTTAGATTAACAACTTAAGCCTTTCATTACACCAATTAAAGCAGTTCACTTTTACACAGTGTACAAATATTCTACAACAATGTTACTGATGAGCATGACCAAAACTCTATCTATCTATCTATCTATCTATCTATCTATCTATCTATCTATCTATCATCTATCTATCTATCCTGCTGATTCTGTGTTTATTGATGCTAACCAGAGCAAGAAAACGGAGCTGCTAATATGCTGGTGATCATGTCCCACCCACGAACGATGGCATGAATGTTTCTTAGTGGGAAGTCAAATGTTATGAGAGAGAGAAAACTTCTGTAATATTCATTAGTATTGAAAATCTCAAATATGCCCGGAGTGGTGGCCTATGCCTTTTATCCCAGCATTCAAGAGACAGAGACAGTGGATCTCTGAGTTTGATGTCAGCCTGGTCTACAGAGCTAGTTCCAGGACAACGAGGGATACACAGAGAAACCCTGTCTTGACAGAAACCAAAGCAAACCAGACAGAAAAATGCCGAAGTGAGCCTGGTCCTGCATCAGTTCTCTGCCTTCCCTAAGAATTCTTCCCATGTGAAGTATGGGAAAGTAGCCTAAGAGCCGCCTCACGGTGTCTTCACTGCCTTTGCTTCCTAGGGTCAATTTTAATTGCCCTTGAAATGAGCATGGCATTTGGACCAGCGATCTAGCCTGTGAGTGAACAAATTCAGAGCTTCACTTTTACAAATAGAGAGCTGCTACTTTCACTGAGTAATTCGAGCCCCTCTTTCAATAGTTTAGAGTTAGACATTTTCACCCTCCCGTCTGAGACTTCCATGCACCCCACTTTGTTCAGTTTCAAAGCACTAAAATGGAGTCTCAGAATACCATCACCCTGTCCTTATAGCAGTAAAGGTTTCTAGATGGGAGCGTGGCCCAGAACAAACTGATCCTCTATACAGATGAAAATAAAATACTTCTGGAGACAGAGGCAGGTGGATCTCTTCAAGGCCAGCCTGTTTATGTAACAAATTCTAGGCCAGCCAGGGCTACCCAGTCACAACCTCTATCACAAACACACACTCTGTATCTATCTATCTATCTATCTATCTATCTATCTATCTATCTATCTATCTATCATCTATCTATAATATAAGTATATGTCTAATATGTATAATTCCATACAGCCCTAGAAACCCTAACTAAGGCCCATGCTGAGTTTGAGAAATAGAGTGTCTAGAAGGTAGAGAGCTTGGGATAGCAGGACCGTGGCCCTGGCTAGTTCTAGCTTTAGAAGCTGGGCTCTGGAGCAGTGTTTCCCTACTGGTGAGCTGAGCCTGGCACAGGAAGTGAATGAACCAATGCTTTCCAAGTACCATTTCTGTGTCTCCACATGGGCCTTGAGAGGTGTGACTCATCTTCATTTCAGGTTTGGAGGGGACCTTGTGGTTTCAGAAAAGGATAGGCAAGGTCTGGTCCCCATGCTTGATCTGTAGTTCTTTAACTGAAACCTTCAAAAACAGTGGTGAGCCCTCCGCTCCCTAAGATGAACACCAGCACTCATACATTGGGGTATTATTACCATATTTCACATCAGTTAGAGAGCTCACCAGATGCTGGGTAATTTGTAAAGAAGCCCTGTGAGAAGGTGGTGTGGAGCCGGGAGGTTGAGGGCTTTGTCAGGACGTCTGGGAAGAGCTGAGTCCCTCACTTTCCAGTCTTCCTTCTTCATAGCAAAAACCACAGATAGGGAACTATGCTTTAAAAGGGAGCCAGGTCATGTGATTATTGGCTAGCCAGGAATATAAACCATGCTTGTATCAATTCTTGGGAAGACTTTACTCTATGTGTAGCTTCCTTCCTTCCTTCCTTCCTTCCTTCCTTCCTTCCTTCCTTCCTTCCTTCCTTCCTTCCTTCCTTCCTTCCTTCCTTCCTTCCCAGCTATGGCTTACTTAGCTTCAATCAAAGTAAAATACTACAACCCAAACTCAGTTTAGTGTTTACGACTATGGAGAAGGGAGTGCATTCATCCGAACTGGGAAAAAATAAGAGTCAACAGGGATGGAATTATTTATGTCTCTCAGTTCCCAGTTCTAGAAAACAGAGGAGTCCGCGTGCTGCAGTATGAGTAAGTCTTGCCAGTTCTTCTCTCTAAGGCTAGAAACCGGAGGAGTGTTAAATGAAAGGAAGGGATTATAGAATTTAATGGAGACCTTGGTCCACAGACCATTGCCCAGCCTTAGTGGCTCTCAGCATCAGTTTTTAGCGAAGAAAGTGACCCTGCCATACGAAACAAATCAGAATAAAATGTTCTGGGATTCCACCCAACTGAGCCTTTAACATTTTGACATTTCATCATTTTCTTTTCCTCAATAACTTAAAATGTCCTTGTTACACCAGCATCAAGACAGACGCTCTGCTATTCCCTTGGATCTGAGAACTGCTTCCAATTTCTCCTAGTGCGTGTTTTCCTCAGCTTCTGAACCATCTGGATTTGTAAACGAGTTCTGAGGCAGTAGACTGATGATGCTGGCATATAGTAGCCTAACTTAGGTTAGAACACCTACAGGAGAGACTCCTCTTAAACAACCCCTTTCCATTTAAGTACATTTAGATTGAAATTATTTTCTTAAAATTTTAGTTCTTGGTTTTATCAAATTGCTATCGACTTTTTTCCTGTCTTTTTCTCATTATAAACAGTATGTTGTAAGTGGGGTATTTCTGTTTTACTTTTAGGTTTCATAATCATATATAAAGTGATTTTTTTCCCCTTGTATCCTATCAGTACCACATATTACATATGTCTAGAAGGAAGCTTGTTTTGATCTTTTTATCCAGTTTGATTTCTTGTTATCGGTCAGAACCTAACTGGGCATCCTGGTTTAACCTGTTATAATTTATCCTAGACTACAACATGCAAACATAATCTTACCTAGCACTTGCTGTGTGGCCAGAACAGTAGGAGAACTTGTTCCATGGCTTCACTGAGGGGGTTGTCTCCTTTGTGGTATTTGAATGGACTAGGGCTCTCACCGGGGTCCGGAGCTAATATTTTCCACTCTTCTCTTTCTCCTATTTATTCATCTTGATTTGTCTTCGTCATCGCCTGTTCCAGATGGTGCGGGTGATTCACGGAGAGACTCAGTTTAAAGTTCCCCCTGTTCTTGGGTGATTTCAGACATTGTCACAGTTCTAAGACATATATAGATGAATTTCCCCTGTAGAACTTAGCTCTCCTCTGCTCCAAAAATGCTAACTGACCTAAAAATCGCACAGGACAGTAATTATTCTTATTAAGATGGCTAATGGCATTACATATAAAGGGCATAACCATTAATAATGGAAAGCTTGACTTAAGGGAGCTGTACCATGGCATAATCCCAATATGTACTAAGCACTTTCCATTTGAGGAACTCTTATTTAACCCTGTACAACAACATAGCAAGCGTATAATGTACTACCCATCAGATACCTTTATTTCAAAGCTGTCATTATGTATCAGATATTTATTTCCTGGCCCTAAATCTCTTCATCACGATATTGGAACATTGTGTTGGCTTCCTTCCAACGCGTATACACGATCTTTGAAGACAGTCCTAAGGATCGTGCGAGGGAGTCAGTTAGCCAAAGGAATGCTGAGCTCCTCCAGGGGGTCAGCTCTGTTTCTTCTGGGTGGGATGATTGGAATCCCAGCTCCTTAGTCTGGTTACACACACCCATCTCTAATCACGTCCCAATAGTGATAAGTAAAACTCCTGCGGTAGTGAGTAAGTCAGTGCCTTCGTTACCTCTTATCAGTGTGGCAACACCTTGACCAGGACAACTTATACACAAAAGAGTTTACCTGTGCTGGTGACTTTAGAGGTGTAAGAGTCCATCACAGCAGGGAAGTGTGGCGTCGAGCCTGGAGCAGCAGGTGTGGCGGCTGGAGCAGAAGGTGAGGGCTCTCACCTTAAACCTCAAGCAGGAAGCAGGAAAAAAAAAAAAAAGCAAACCTCCAGGTGAAAGCCTTTAAGCTCTCTAAACCTGCCTCCTGTGACAACTGCCTCCAGCAAGGCTACCCTGATCCTCCCCCCCCAAACAGCCACCAACTGGGGACTAAGAATTCAAATGCCAGAGGCTATGTAAATGCCAGAGATTCAAACCTTCACACCCTCTGATTTAGAGATTGCCTTAAGACATTGCTGTGTCTGTCAGACGGTTCTGGAAGCACGTATATCTTTCATGGGTGGCCTCCTTCATCATCCACGCCATTCTTTATTTAGTGTTGACATTGCCTTATGACACACTGCTGCTCAGTAGCCTTAAAGAGGACAAGGATGAATATATTTGTATCAAAACCAACAATTTTGGTTCTCTTTAAACAGTAAACTACAGCAGGCTGGTCTCTGGCACTAGTGCATTGCTTACCTGAGGACAGAACCCAGAAAAGAAACTGGTTTTGACCCTTGCTCCTTGCCTGGTTAATTAACATCATAATTTCTTTTCCAATCATTACTGATTTTAACCCCCTTTTCCATCTTCACAGTTCATGCATCATGCAAACACTCAGTTACATCAGTAGTAGAAAATTTAAGAACGCTTGGACAACACGTTTAATCTAGAGACTTCACTATGGCAGCTGAAATCTTTCTAATCTCTGCACTGAAAGTTAAAATTACCTATAAATTTTCACACCATAATATGGTGTCGAATATGACATTTAGACATTGTAGTTTTATCTGTTGCTGATTAATTATATCTGGCTGAGTTAGTTTTATCTCTCCTTGCTGATTAGTTTAATAAACCGCTGGGAAACACAAAATTAAAAAGAACTTAAAATTAGAGAAACTAGGAAAAAGGAAAATCAACAAAGTATCTTTTTTGATCCATCTTCATGGTCAGTGTGGAAACGATGAGGGACGACATTCACCTCGTGACTTTTCATTGAATGCTCCTGTTCCTAATTGTATATGCTTCAAACTTTCCTGACTAAGGAATTTACTATAATAATGTTGGTATGTGTCCTTTTGACATGATATAAATATGTATCTAAATCTCATTGTTTTTAATGCTCTTCTTTAATTTTCCCCTTGACCCTGCTGCTATGCAAGGCGAAGCTGTGTGCACACTAGGCAAGCACTCTACTGTTGAGCCACAGAGCCCATCCTCTTCCCCTTGACTTTTCCTTTGTTCCTTTGCGTTATCACTTCTTTAGCTCTGCTGGCTATTTACAAATTTGCATCAATTAAAAGATTTCCTAGCCTGCACCTTTTGCCTTATTACTCTATGCAAGGTGGGGGTAAGGCTATGAAGAGGGGTCCCACTATCATTGTAAGTGAGAAGAAAGGGCAGCCTTGGAAACAGGAAGCTTCTTTCTTATCTCAAGCATGTCATTGTTTGTTGCAAGCTTGGAATGGTTCTAATTTTAATCACTGGAGGCTGTTCCTTCAGTGGTACACTGCAGACAATCCCATTGGGGTTATCCAACCACTTCTACTATGACTGCTGCTATCTCGATGGCTACGCGGTGCGGTATGTACAATCAGAACTGTGTGACGAAAACTGTGCATTGGTTAGAAAATGAAGTAGGGAAAGTCAAGTTCAGTACATTTCTTTTGATTAAACAGTCTCAGTAATAAACACTTTTCTCCCTTCTTCTTAGTACCCGGTGTTCATGGGAAAAACAAGCCGTTGATCACTTACGTGGGGGATTCTACCATCCTGAAGTGTGAATGCCACGATGGTCATCCTTTAAATTGGACTTGGTACACGAGTAATGGAAGTGTACAGGTAAGATCGTGTTTGCTGGGGCTGGGAAGGCTGTTCAGTTGGTCACAATGCTTGTCCTTTAAGCAGTATGGATCTCCTGTATCCATATAAGAAACGGGGCATTCCAGTTGTGGTTGAGGTAGATGGAGACAGGATGATTCCTGGCTTGCTGAGCCAGGCTAGTCTTGCTGGTGAACTCCAGATTTAGTGGAAGACAATTGAGGAAGGGCACTTAACATTTATCTCTGGCCTCCACATTCATCACATGTAAATGTGCTCAAAACACCCACCCGCACAGACATACAGACATGTATACACACGTGTGTATACACACACACACACACACACACACACACACACACATGGAAGATCTTTTTTCTCGGGGTTGAAGAAAAGAAAACAAGAAGCCATTTAGTTCATGAAGAGGATTCTAGCTGACTCAGTCCTAGGGAGACAAGCACTCCTGTTAGCGCTTATAGTTCGCAAGAACACACAGTGAGGAATGGAGTTATCCTTGGATGCTTTCGGCACGTGGCATTATACGTGTGAAGAAGATCTTAGTGTTTTATTGGCTCCTACATCGTTTTCTTTTTAGGTTTTGAAATTTATTTAAAGTCTTTGAAAGAAAATCAAAATTCGCTTTCAGGATGGGCACAGTGGTGCGTGCTTGTAATCCCAGTACCAAAGAAACTGAGAGAGGAGGATTGCCAGGTGTTTGAGATAAACCTGCACCAAAGAGATGGTGCCAGGTAAAGCCAGAAGAGCCAAGGTTACACGGCAAGGCTGTGCTACAAAACAAAGCTAAAAGTAAAAGGAGAGAGGATTTTTACCTGGTTTAATGGCATGTGCCTGTAATCCTGGACCTATGGGAAGTTGAAGTTTTCACTGTGTTTTCAAGCCATTTCAAGGCCATGCGTAAAGGTTTTGGTGTTATCCCAGACTCCATAATGAGGCAAAACCAAAACATTTTTAATTGACCAGGCTAGAAGTAATTTTATCAGAAAAGTCCCGCTTCTACTTCTTGTCAATAACTGGGGGGGGGGGGGGGGGTCCCAGGCTCTTTTTCCAGTTTGTCTCCTGAAATATCTGACGTGGGAGGCAATGCCTCGGCACCATTTGGAAACAATGAATGGAAATTTGGTCCCTTAAACTGAGGTCTCAGTTGTTAAGTGTCCTCATCCCTTTGTACTTCACACATTGGAAAGAAGTGGATTTCGAGGCTTATACATCTAAGACAATTGGCTTCGCAGAGCTGATCTGAAGAAAACAAGAGTATTCAATGAATAAATTATCGCTGACGTCCTGTCCTTTCCCAGAGAGCTTCAAAGAGCATGAAACTCAGGGCATGGTGCTTGGGGGTGCCCCTTTCTTGCCATGCTGCTAATGAGTATTCGAATTAAAGTCCTATTAGAGAAAAGCTGCAATTCTAGATGGGACACAGGAAACAGAACCAATCTTTCAATGAGGGATTCGATTACCACTGAAACAAAGTTGCAGCTGTGGACGATGGAAGAAGGGCTTTGGAAGGAGCACGGTTTATTTCTGTGCTAACGTTGCTTTAATGTTTCAAGAAAAGAACTCTAGATCATGCAGGGGTCAGCGTAAATAGTGAATCTTCTGCCCTTTGTCTTATTGGTGATCAGGACAGGTATCTACAAATGTTTTTAAAATATTAATTGTAAAATCAAATACCAGTTGTGATGTTTAGAATATGTAGCCTGATTTATTCATGCCTGTGTGTTAGCAAACAGGCTAGAGCCTAAGTCATTTTATATTAAAGTTGTGTCCTGGGTTTGCTGTATGAATCATTATCCTCTTCTTCATTTAGCATTGAGTCTGATCAAGATCAGCTGTAAGACAGGGGCAGGGAGGGGGTCACAGGTCATCATTTTAGGTCAAGTCACCATCTGCATCACAATTAGCTCTGTGCTTTCTTAAAATTCAGCCCTTTGATTTACTGTCTCTGATTCATATGGTGGTTTGTGTCATGAATATTACAGACTGTGCTGCCTGTGTACATATTGATAGGTCATGGTCTTCCTTCCTTCCTTCCTTCCTTCCTTCCTTCCTTCCTTCCTTCCTTCCTGCCTGCCTGCCTGCCTGCCTGCCTGCCTGCAAATATATTTGCAGAGACTTCGTCCTTGAATCATCTGAGAATGTTTGTATGCAGATTAGCATTTATTGAGCATCTCAGTTGAATGATAGAACAGTGAAGACATCAAATGTCCTGAGAATAAAGTTTAATTTTGATTAAGTATAACAGCTTCCCAGTATGACCTTATGAGCCGGAGGAAAACCCAGCAGCTCCCAGAAGCCAGTCTACCTAAGAGAAAGAAACAGGGACATGAAAGGAAAGAACAGGTGTCTGGGACCAGAGAGCTGGTCACTGGAGGGCATCAGCTAAGAAGCCTTGAGGATTTCAACTGTAGTTTCAGTGTAGGGCACTCTGGTGGTCAGGATGGTAGTCTAATATCAGATGACTGACCAGAATAATATCTTTAGAAGTAGGTGTTTTGTTTCCTTATGTGCTTGCCTCTGCCTGTGAAGAGCTAGTGATATATGAAAAAGGGAAGCCAGGATGGTTGGAAATTTTCTGCCTCGGATTTTCACCTAATATTTACTAATGACAACCTAGACATATATTTGTAGGTCCAGACATTCAGGGCTGAGTCCACATAGCGGAACAGACTTTTTCCCTTGCTGCTGGAACACTAGCTTCCTGCAAAGACTCATAAATTTTAATATGCCCCTTTCCAGTAAGTGGCTTCCTTGGCTCTGACTTATAGCTTTGCCCAGAATGAGATCTCATGGGACATGTATCTCTTTTTGCATTATGTAAGGATTTTAATGTCTCCTTGCATTAGGTTCCTATTGATGTTCACAAGAATGATAAGTATGTTATAAATGGATCCTATGCTAATTAGACATGACTCAAGGTAAAGCATTTTTGGAGGAAGATGGAGGCTCCTACTGGTGCCGGGCAGCCTTCCAGTTAGGTGAGAGCGAAGAACACATTGAGCTGGTTGTGCTGAGCTTCATGGTGCCCCTCAAGCCGTTTCTCGCAATAATTGCAGAAGTTATTCTCTTAGTGGCTATCATTCTGCTTTGTGAAGTGTACACACAGAAAAAAAAGAATGACCCAGGTAAGATGTCTCACTTTTTCTATTACATTATCACTTCATTATTTGTTTATTTTAATTAATTTATTTTCTTTAAATGATCTTTTTTCATTTTACATACCTAACCCAGTTCCCACTCCTTCACCTTCCCCCCACCCCACTCCCATCCACTCCTCAGAGAGGGTAAGGCTTCCCATGGGGAAGTCAACAGTCTGGCACATGGCTTTGAAGCAGGACTAAGGCCCTCCCCATATTTATCCTGAGCAAGGTATCCCTCCAAAAAGCTCCAAAAAACCAGTTTAAGCAGCAGAGATAAATCCTGGTCCACTGCAAGTGGCCCTACAGACTTCCTCAGCCACACAACTGTCACCTACATTCAGAGGCCTAGTTTGGTCCTATGCAGGTTCCCCGGCTGTCAATCTGGAATCAGCGAGCTCCCACTAGCTCAGGTCAGCTGTTTCTGTGGGTTTCCCCGTCATGGTCTTGACCCCTTTGTTCATACTATTGCTCTTACCTCTCTGTCTGATCTCCGGAAGCTCAGCCCAGTGCTTAGCTGTGGATCTCTGCCCCGGTTTTCACATTATCACCTCATTAGGATGTATATTATGACCAGAGATTCAGATAGTGTCTGGTGTCCTGTTACAAGGGAACTGAGGGAGACACAGCTGTCAAAGGTGGCACTTCTCTCCTTTCCATGGAAAAGTTGTTAGGAGCAGGTTGAATTGAACATGTAACATAGTATTGCATGCTTAAATATCATATCCTTTTTCTTTGTCTTTATACAGATGATGGGAAAGAATTTGAACAAATTGAACAGTTGTAAGTAGTTTTTTTGATTTTTTTTTCTCACTTGGGTAAAATACAGATAAATAAGAAATTAGGTAAAATCTTACAGTTAGAAACAGAACAACAAGAACGTGCATGTTGGTGTGCATGCTGTTTCTGTAAACATCTTTGTGATATTGAAGTGATACCCAGAGTCTACCCCTCCATCAATAGCTGTTCTTTGCTTCTGGTTTCATCTCTGCAAGATGGGTTCATCATGGTGCTCCTACACACATTTGTTGAATTAGTGATAACTTATGTATGAATACTTTGGAGCACAGTAACCAGAATGTTTTATTATTTAAGTGAGTCTTTACCTTGGTTGTAGTTTTGATCACTGAAGCTTCTTAATACAATGTTCTTGAGGCTAGAGAGATGGCTTGGTGGTTAAGAGAATTTGATGCTCTTCTAGAAGACAGGGGTTCAATTCCTGGCAGCTGCATGACAGCTCACAACAGTCTCTAGCAACAATTCTAGGATATCTGTTGTGTTCTCTTCTGGAGACATGTGCACACACATGTTTCATGGCAAAGCATCCCTGGAGGAGAGAGAGATAGTTAGTTCAGTGTTCAGGCCTCACTAGACCCCCCAGATCAGAAAGAACAACTTAGGTTGGATATGGAACCTGGATTTTCTAAAAACATCTTCCAGTGGTTCTGAAGATCACTCACCTAGGATTCTATGAGAATTACTTTTGAGAGAACTCATGTTTTTTTTTTTTTTTTTCTCTTACAGATCTCTTTAGAGATAGCTGGGAATAACTCTGAGTATAGCTGGGCAATTGATAAATAAAAGGGCAATTGATCTACTTTGGTTTGGGGATGGTGGACTACTTCCAAACTGGAGAATAAAGGCTGCCAGGGAAGGAACTAAAATCTGAGAAACAGAATAAGAGACCAGACTAAGACAACTGAGAATTTGCCCTTGAAAGGGGACCCCATGCCCAACAAGATGGTGGAAGTGTGATCCTTCATATACTTGCAGCCATAGTCAAAGAGGCTTTTGGACCCAGTTCATACATAGTAGGTAAAAATAAACCAACAGGATATGTGCTTCCAAGTTAAGGACACAAAACTATAAGTTGAAGTTTAAATCACCCCAATTCTTATTTATTTATTGGTCCTCTTTTTTATTTTTATTTTTAAAGATTTATTTATTTATTATGTATACAACATTCTTTCCATGTGTGCTTGCAGGCCAAAGAGGGCACCAGATCTCATTACAGATGGCTGTGAGCTATGTGGGTGCTGGGAATTGAACTCAGGACCTCCTTTAAAGAGCAGTCAGTGCTCTTAACCTCTGAGCCATCTCTCCAGCCCCCCCCCCAAACATCTTAAAAGCAATGTCAACATGATTCAATTTATAATATAAAGTTATTTTATACCTTTTACTTTAAATTGGAATAATATACATGTTCTTCATCTTATGCTCCATTGCAGCCATCACAATGAAAATGTTTTATTTTAGGTATAAATTAACCATGGTATTTTAAGCTTTTTCAGATCAGCCCTTGTTGCAGTTCATTTTAGGTAGCGTAGTTAATTTAGTTAGTAACTAATTTTTTTCACAAAAAATATTTTCGTGTGTTATATAACTGATATATTTTTACATATATTTATGTGCTTTGGTAACCCTGGTCTTTTGTAGTTTTTTGGTAAAAATGATTTTAAAAAATAAAAATAAATATATAACATCAAAAGCAATGACTTCTCTCGAGGAACTCAATGAAGAGTAGACTCATTTATTTGATCATTGTTCTACCATCCAAGACTTCTACACTTCGGTTTTGACATGCATGGTTGGTTGGCTGATTTTACTTGATGACAACAGCCTCATGAGCGTGGGTCTGCCCACAGCATCTCTACTGATATTCACTGTGCTCAATGGTTTTCTCATGCAGTTGTGCTGAAGAATCCACGGCTATCCTTAATAGTCTTGTTTGGAAACAAAAGGTCATATGCAGCTTCTAATTTGATGTAATAGCCGTCAAATTATGAGTTCTCTCATACAAATTGGCTGAGCTCCCTATTGACTGTTATCTTGCATGTTTCAGAACACTGTGAGAGATCACAGTTGCATACATGCCCATGACTCTACTCTTGTAGTTCTCCCTCTGCTTAGATCACGCAAGTCTTTGTTACTATGCCCGTGGCAGTAGGTTCTCCCTAAGCAATGGCATGAGAAAAATCTACATTACAAGTAGGACACTGTTAGGAAGATTGAACTGAGTGTGCACTGACATTTGAGAGTTTGCATCCAGTATGGTGTAAAATATTACACTGACTTAATTTTATGCATCGTGAACATCTGGTGATTCTCCTTTTTGTTTCTCACACAGGAAATCAGATGACAGCAATGGTATAGAAAACAATGCCCCCAGGCTCAGAAAAAATGTAAGTTACTTACTTCTAAACCATAGGAAAAGGCGAAATTCAATATACCAGGCTATTAAACTTTACTCTTTCCAGATTCATAGAAGACCTAGTTCAGTGTGCTTGAAGCACACTTATTTACACAGTAATAGGAGAAAATATGGACGTATGCAAAAATTAAGGGTATCCTTTTCTACCAGAGAATAGGTGGTAGTTCTCCTTTCTCAGCTCCCTGAGTGCTGGGATTAAAGCTTTTGTGTAATTTTTAATTTCTCAGCTCAGACTTTCTGTACTCTTTGATTTTATTCTCATAGACTTCCATATGGTTGACGCGATGAATTTGTCCGTCACAGATAATTTCCTTAATTAATTCTTAACTGTCTTAGTTCATCAGTGTTAGAACTTGCTCTGCCAGTAGATGGCAAGCTCACTTTCTAGTACTCCTTTGCTTTGCTAAAACAATTGGAAGTTATTATAGAATCGCGCGGCAGTAACTGTTGACTTCTGCTTTGTTTAACTCAGGAGTCGGTGGAACAGTGAGCGAAGAGTATTCTGCCTTGAGAAGACGTACAAAGAGTTTGTATTCCTGCTTCCTCTCAAGAACGTGTGAAATTTAGATTTTTAGAAGACAGAAAACTTCCTCAGCACCCACAGCGGTAGCTTTATAAACAATATAGGCCATCTCCTACCTAAAGATGTGTTTTCATTTTGTAATTGCTTTTCATTAAAGCAAGGTGAATTATTTCAGATGTGTTCTGCCTGTTGTAAGCTAGATAATAAATTTTATCCTGGTCTGGGAGATCAGGGGCACGGGACAGACAGCAGCAAAATCAGTGGCTAGTCCACAAAGAAATATCACTAAAGATGTGTTTATTACCAAAGAATTATTAAAGAGAAAGCTTTTACCTGTTGTCTTACAAGTGTTGCCCCCACTCATGCATGACTACCTACAGAAGTATTGATAACAGCTTTTCTGTGACGTGTATTCTGCCGTGGTATTGAAAGTCTTTTCCTTAGGAAATAGGAACTATACTTTCGATAATGGTGGCTTCTCTGTAGGCTCTACGGTAAGGTATACTTTTGCTCCGTGAGTAATGGTGTCGACTAAGGGAGTACAAACCGTCTATGCTAAGAAAAAGGGTCTCTTAGTCTTCAGTAGGACATTTTCCTCATTCTTTGCCACAGCATCTGGGCCTCATCTGTCCTCCTGGTGTTGACGTTTCAGGGTACAGATCCATGTGGTCACAGTCCGACACTGCTGCTTGCATGGCTTTGGCTCGTGGATCCTGGGGACCTTGATTTGCTGTCTGGTTTCTCGTGCCATCGCTGTCCAAATGTACAAAAATGCGTTATTACTGCTTTCCGACAATAATTCCTTTGACTGATAAGCAGGAGCGCTAGTGCCCTATTTTTATGTTGCTGCAAATGCCTTAGACTTACCTTTCGAAATGGAAGGATTTCATTACATACATGATTGCAATATTTTATATAAACTCAATAAAACCAAATCGATTCAACTTTGAATGGACATAGCCAGTTGTCACTGACTTTAAATTAAATTAAATAAATAAATAAATAAGCAGTGCCTTGGGTAGTAGATTGGGTGTCCCTGGTGTTGCCGGGTTTTTGTGACACACTGTTCCCTGAGAACAGAGTTAAGAACAAGGACAACAACTTGGGGTGGTAGTAAAAAAAAAATCCATGGTTCTTGGGGATTGAAGGTTTAGAGGTTAGGTAGAAGAAATCCACTGATTTAGCATTGAAAATTCGAAGTGTATGCCTTGCACACTAGCTAAGGAATGTATCAAATTCTGATAGGGAAAATTCTGTAATATCTCAGCTAACGTTTACCAATATCACTAGCTAGAATAGTACATATAAAATATTATGGCAGCTGCTTCCTGTTATGTTGATGCAACAAAGTTCAGTATTTTCAAATACATGTTAACTGTACGTGTAGATTTTATTAAATTAGAATGCAACTCTTGGTAGTAGATGTCCTGTTTTCTTCCTTAGTCTCATGAATGATACTTTTGTGTTGCTTTAATTCATGCTTAATTTGACAAGATCCTCTTGATGAGCTCATGGCAATCAATATAATTATTCTAAACATTTTGAATTCAGAGAGCAAGTCCCACTCAACAGTATAACTGTGACTGGATACATACAAAACCCCAAGTAACTTTGCTTACAAGATTCATTCATTTGCTTTGCCACGACTAAGTATTTAAGTTGATATGGTTTACATGGAAAAGAAAAGCTACCCAAAGGTAAAATAATCTGAAATACTTATGTGATACATTTGAAATGCTAATGGGTTATATTGTGTTATTTATTTTTATAAAAGATAAGTTACCTAAGTAACTTTAAGTAACTTTTGGCCTTCCAGGGTCTCTCTGGAGTACTTCTGGAAAATTATCCCATCCCTATTAGATTAAAATGGACTGCTTCTGTTGACTAGCGTCACAGAGACGATGAATGGATTGTCTAAGGACCCCTTGTAAACTGACTGCAAAACCAAAGATGAACGCAGGAAAACTACCCTGACTACGTCGTAGACACCTGGGAAACTACCAATCTTTTCAGTTGATGGGTTTTCAATATAATAATTAGATGTAATGATGCCATAAAAATGTCCAGATAATCTTAAATTCAGTTTGCATTGAAATATAAATTTCCTTTTGCAATCTTTTCCTTTTTTTTTTCTTCCCTAGCTGGTGAGTCCTTCAAGCCCAAACCTAAAATTGTTTATGATCTTTTCTTCTTTATTGGCCAGGAATCTAATCTATCCCTCTTTGATTTTCTTTTTCTTTCTTTTGGAGGTAGGGAGGTTTGAGACAGGGTTTCTCTGTATATCTCTGGCTGTCCTGGAACTCACTCTGTATACCAGGCTGGCCTCGAACGCACAAAGAGATCCCCCCTGCCTCTGCCTCTGCCTCTCTGAGTGCTGAAATTAAAAGGCGTGCGCCACCACTGCCTGGTTTCCTTTGATTTTCTTAAGCCATCATTAATCCTTTCAGAACCTCTCCCACTTCACCTTCACCAGCTGCAAGGTTGTGGTGTAGGTTCCCCTACCTTGGCCTCATTGTCCATTCCTCCAATTTTCACGGTGCTTCTCGGTCTTTCTTCTTAAACACAAAGGTCTCACGTGACGTGTCAGGTTTCAGGCCAAACCTTAGGCAGCACATTGTTGCCATTTCGGCATGTCACCTAGGTCACCTGGTTACCTCTCTCCTCCCAGTGTCTTGGATTAGCCCAGAATGTGTCTCTGATGCTTACCCCGTCCTACTAACTCAAGATTAGCCTTCAGTATGGTAAGCTTTAGGGGAAATTCACATATCCATGGGGTAGGGACGATCCCATGTGCTAACGACTCCATGTTGTTGTCAGGGTAGTTTTCCTGCTTTAGTTGTGTGCCCGGTATTTCGTACAAGGAAAAAGTTCTAGGTGATGTAAAATGTGTGTGCCTATGTTTAGAAAACTAATTTTAATTATGACAGTTAAAATTGTAAAACAATTTTTTTTTTTTACAGAAGAACCCAAGTTATGCAAATCCTCCAGTTGTACAGGGTACATCACACCCATTCTGATGGGGTTAATTCCTGTCACACTTAGAATCCCATGGCCAGTATGCACAGAAACCCTTTTATTTAATAAGGTGACACACTGGCCCTAAATATGCAGGATTTTAATGATTAGATTCCTTTGGATGGCGCAGAGAGCTGGCACTTGGGCTCACCCCTCTAACATACCCGTTCCACTTCCCCAAGTTTTGTACATCTTTGTACATCTCAGAATTCGCTTCAGAATTTAATATCAACAGCAGCATGTGACAGAAAGATTTATTATTACATTTTGAACACTGAAAGCATACTTTTTGTCGAATTGATCAAAAGAAGGGGAAAAAAACCTTTCATTTCAACCTTTTTGTTTCTGATCCTCATCTTTAAGACAGTTTTGATTATTTGCTTTCTGTTAAACTTTCCATAGGAAAGTGAAGGTTTGGTAATTAAGTAAATCTAGGGGAAAAAATGAGGGAATTCCTGATCAGTGGATCAGCTCTCAGAAAGGTGTCCAAGTGCTCCGGTATTAATAGAACAACATGGCGACCTGCGTGCTGTCCACACTTAGAAAAATATTGACGGCATGAGTGGAAGTGGGAAGAAGACTTGATTGGTTTGCAACTTTAAGCCACACACACTTAGGTACTTAACTAGTTTGTTGAATGCATTGCGTGCTAGGCACTCACTTTAACACATGCCTTGAAGTTCTCTGTTTATTTTACTCATGTTGTAAAAATGGTCCTCTGTTTTCCTCAGTGCACAATCTCAAGCTCAGAGACCGTAAGAAAACCACACAAACCCACGATGTACATGATCACAACTGAAATCCAGATTTAGGCTCAGCTGACCAGTTCAACAGCACTGAATGACTAGATGTATACGTCCTAAAAAGTGAGGTCATTATCAGTTACCTTGTTTTGTTTTGTTTGTTTTTTAATTTCACTCTTTTAGGTGGCCAGTCATAGCACAAGATCCATAATCTTACTGTAGTTGGGACCCACTTTGTGTCAGTCTGTGTCCCCACACAGGTGCTGGGGAATCAACACATACTTAGGACTTTTTTTTTTCTGGTTGTATTGTCAGTCGTGAGAATGACCATGAAATTTATCGACCAGACATAAAACGAGAAAGATGCTATGTATAACTTCGCTGAGAAAGCAGGCCCTCTGGTCTCACCTTCAGCCCCTAGGGAGGAGGCGGCTGCTCTGTGTGGGTTCTGTCACAGAGGCAGCAGCAAGCTGGAATGATTGACAGAAATGAACTTTCAAGGAACTAGCCAATTTTAGCTATGCGGGGAAATCACCATTTTCAGTAGGTGTCGGGTGAGTGCCGCTGTGGAGAAGTGCCTATAATGGCATCATTTACTCAGCGTAAAAGTTTTATTGCTCTAAGTATCTCAGGATGACTGTGGTCTGTTGGCATTTGGAAGATGGATGCGCGGGTCCTAAGAGAAGTTGGCGAAGAACATCTTGCTTGCTCTGCTGGGTCGATGAACTGGCCAGTTCCTTGGACTTGTGCACCCCTTGGTTCCTATGTGGTAGTAGCCATGTTTGTGTGAATCCAGTGAGCCAAGAATGGCAGATCCTTTGGAACAAAGTACTTTCAGTTCCACGAACGATTTATGGTCTGCATTTCTTGTCCCTTTACAGCTCAATGGGAGCATGTTATGGAAACCTGTTTAGGGTCTTGGTTAAAGATAGTGTTTTTGTCTGGTGTGTTTAATGTTCTAAAGCATTTTATTAAAACATATGTAATTTGTGGAAAATTATCACATTATTTTTCTAAAGTTTGTTGATATGAAAGTAATAGATTTATTACATATGTGATTAACTGTGATGCTACTTAATGTTACAAAAGAATAGCTACTTATATTTTTAACTTTTAGAACAGATATTTAATCATAAATGTTTAGTTTTGCTTAAATCAAGGGCCATTGATTATATTTTTTTAATAGCTATGTTTCTTTTCCGTGTGTGTTTAGATTCTCATCGCCGACTTTCTATATCAACACCAGAAATGACAATACAGGAACATTGTGAAAATTTCCATGTTGTGTATGAATTTAATAGACAATTAAACTCAATAAAATGTATTCTAAGGATTTAAGCTTTAAGTATCAGGGAATGTGTTTTCAAAGTTTTCACTTGATTAAATCGTGTGTGTGCACACGTATGTGTGTGC